CCAGCAAGATAGAGAGAGACAGAGAAACAGAAAGCAAGAAATCACCCCCCAGGGGGGATGGCCATGCTGCAATCCCTTCTCCATTCTCCTCTCGGGATCTTGGGCATGCACGCACATGCACCCTGTGTGTTTTAAACCACCAGGTCCCGGATTCGAACCACTGTTGACTGTGTGGGAATCCAGCACTATAACCTTTATGCCATCCCCTGGTCTCCCCCCTTTTTTTAAGTTTATTTATTTCTTTCATAAGAGAGACAGACAGGCATCCCCCAACAGGGTCCTCCTGCTGCCATCAACCCCTTATTCTAGCTGGCCTGGACCATGGCTGGCTGAGATCCCAGCACATGTGTGTGCACCTGGGCATGTCAGGAGGCCCTGGGAGGCCTTTCTGCTGTGCGGGTCTAGTCACGTTACCCTTGTACCACCACTTGGTCTTTGGTCAGACTTTGACACGGAGACCACAGGAGTTCTGGCTAAGAGGTCCTCAGCTCCTCCCACTCCCTGTGGTCACCCTGTGCCCCGTCCCCCTGGAAGCACTGGACTTGGAGAAGAGGCTGCAGCAGTGGGCCCTGGACGTGTTTCTCCCAGCAAGTTTGCACCTAACCTTGTCCTTGAGAAGTGCTCTTTGGAGAGCTCACAACCCGTGATTTTTGAGAGCTCTGTGTGAGGACACAGGGGAGGGATGAGGACTGGAGTGAGAAGGGGCCCAGAGGGGCCAGTGAGAAAGCCAGTGAGAAACCTGCCCCCAGGCCTTTGCTCATGGCTGATTCCGCACCACGTCACCTCCTCCAGGATGGCTTCCCAGCTCCCTCTCCCCAGCCAGTATTCACAGATCCTCTTGGGGACCTTCCTCTGTGCTGCAGCCAGACCACACTCTCTTCCTTCACCCAGAGTCCCCAGGCAGGAGAGTGTCCCAGCACAGCCCCAGCATGGCCTGCCAAGTCACGGGCAGCAGCCACTGCTCACGCACCTCCAGTGACAGAGAGCTCACCACCCTAGGCGTGGCTCTCACTGTGAGAACGCCCTAACTGGAGCCAAGGAGTGACCTCTTAGCTCGGCCTCCCAGAGCCTCAGGTCACCTGCTCCCTCCACTCACCCTGGACTTCACAGAAGAGTGTGGCCAATGAAGACCCCAGTCCCAGTGTCCCCCCTCAGGGTCTGCTTTGGTTCTCGGCATCTCAGCCTCTCTGCCTCCAGCTCAGTCACTCCATTGCTGAATCCCGGGGCCTCTCTTCATCTGAGCGGATGCTCTCCCATGTTACTCGCTCTGTCCAGTTCTGGGTCCACCCATCCCCACCCGGGCTCCTGTCTCTGGGGTCTAGAAGTCTGGTCTTTTCCTCATGCTCTGTTCCATGCACCCTGCAAACCCCACACGACCTGACAGACAGATATCTGAGGGAAAGGAGGGCGTTTAAAGCAAAGCTGATTCTCCTCAAGGACGAGCAAATTGCTCTTCAATGTCTTTAGAGAGGCACCCTCAGGTCAGCCCGGTGGTGTGGTGTTTAAGGTGACTGGATCCCACATGAATGCACGGCTTGAGTCCTGGACCTGGCGACTTAAAAAACACACCAGGCTGGGATGTATGCACGCCCAGAATCCTGAGAGGAGAATGGAGAAGGGATTGTGGAGTGGCCATTCCCCCTCCGTCTCTCTCTCTCTTCCCCTGTCTCTGGTGAGCACACGCATCCTATAGTAAACTGAAAATGAATCATGATAATAGAGGGTCCCTCATGCCATTTCGCAGTGAAACAGCTGGAAAACTGAGGCCTGAGATGCTGAGACCAAGTCCAGGCTGGGTCAGGGCTTGGTCTCTGGCTGAGGGCTCCCAGCTGCAGGGTCAGTGCAGCACTGAGCAGTGGCCAGATGAGGGCGACAGAGACAGCAGGAGCCACAGTCCAAGCAAGACTGGGAGCCTGGGCTTGCGGTGGGAGAGTGCAGCGGGACCCCGCCTTCAGGCTCTGCTGTGTGACTTGGCAAGTCAGGGCCCTGCTCTTTCTGGATGTTTCCTTCTCGGGACTCAAGGCCGGCTGTGCAGCCATGCAGTTGGGTTCTAACCCTGGTTAGTCTGTGACGTGCTATGAGATCTGCTAAGTCACTGTGCCTCTGAGCCTCAGTGGCGTCGAGAAGGGTCACATCATTAGGAAACTGAACGTTGGCAGAGAAGAAGGGGAAGAGGAAGGTAGTGAGGTCCCTGTCGCTGGAGGTATGTGTTCAGCTTGGGACATATGCTGCAGCTGGGGGTCAGGCGAGGAGACTTTCCCCCCCACTCTGACAGCCTGTGACCAACACAGGAGAGGGTCCTGGTGCTGCTCACAGCGGCTGGTCTGAAAGCAGACATAGGGAGCCATAGGGGCCAACGTAAAGACACATTGCCCAGCCTCGGACAAGGGGCAGGCTGGGCCTGAGCAGTGACCTTTCCCTCCCCTGAACATCAGGAGTGGAGCTAACCAGGGACTCAGAGGCCGGTCCTATGCCGGAGCTTCTGCCACCAGTGCCCACCAGGCCCGTCCCCGGAACTCGTGATGGTGGGAAAGGCGAAGGCAGAGCAGAGGCCTGGGGGTCAGGAGGTTTCAGTTCTGAGCCCGGATGTATGACTGACTTGCCTGGTGACCTGGAAACCCCACTGCTCCTCTCTGGGCCTCAGTTTCCCGCACAGGCTCAGCAATATCACAGGTGTCTGTGAATGGGAGGAAGGCAGAGGCCAATGGGCATCAGAAGGCTGGGTCCTGGCCCTGGCCCTGGTTCTGTCTGACCAGCTCTGAGGCTTCGGGGAATGGGTCGTGTGGATGAAAGGCTATTTTGGATGCTGGAAGTTCTGGGAGACCAGGATAACGTGGCCACTGTTTGGGCTTCTGGTCAGCTCGCCCTGGGCGCCACTCAGCAGTCCTAGTTTAGAACCACACAAATGGGGGGGACCAGCACTTGGCATAATGGCTATGTCACTGGACTCCCATGTAGTTGACCACGGTTCGAGTCCTGGATCCAGTGACTTAAACTCACATGGAGCGTGTGTACGTGTGTGCCCAAGATCCTGAGAGGAGAATGGAGGAGGAGGAATTGCAGCGTGGCCATCCCCCCAGGGAGTGATTTCTCGCTTTCTGTCTGTCTGTCTCTCTCTGTCTTTCTGGCGAGTGCACGCATCCTATAGCAAATAACTCTCAAAAAATAAATAAATAGGGACCAGCAGTTAGTGTAATGGCTATGTTGCTGGACTCCCATGTAGTCGACTGCGGTTCAAGTCCCGGACCCGGTGGCTTAAACTCACGCCGGGCATGTGTGCGTGCGTGCCCAAGATCCCGAGAGGAGAATGGAGGAGAAGGGATTGTGGCGTGGCCATCCTTTCTCGCTTTCTATCTCTCTGTCTCTCTCTGTCTGCCTGGCGAGTGTATGCACCCTATAGCAAAAACCTCTCCAAATAAATAAATAAATAAATAAATAAATAAATAAAAAAGAACCACACAAACAGGTCATGGAGACAAGAGCAGCAGAGACTTCAGAATCACCCAGCCAAGTCAGGAAGGTGCTGCCAGGTACCCCCTAGACTCCAGGCAGGGACTGAATGCCGTTTGGTGATCCTAGAGCCTACAGGAACCCTCTGCAGAGTCACTGTGAATGGACATGATGCACACACATAAGGGACACGCAGCAGGCCCCCAGCCACCTCAGCCATGGGGCAGGTATAGACACAGCATGCACACGCATGGGCACGTGTGAGAACCCAGCCCGAGGAGACACCTAGCAGCCACACCCACTGGGCACACCCCAGACACATGAAGGCCTGTTTATGGACAGTCACGTAACACACTCATGCTCACACAAGCACATGCACACGAGTGTGCAAGCCCTTGCCAGGCCTGCCTGGGCTGCCTGGACAGCTGGACGGATTTCTGTGCCAGGACAGCCAGACCGCAGAGGAAGCCCCACCCTGCTTCTGACCCTGGACTCCTGATACAGAGGGACAGGCCCAGAGTTGCCCAGAAAGGAGCCGTCATCCCTGGGACATCCTCTGCCTGACATTTACATACCAGGCAGGTAGACCAGCAGGTGGCATAATGGTTACGTCACTGGACTCCCACATAGTTGACCACAGTTGGAGTCCCGGACTCAGTGGCTTAAAACTCATGCCAGGTGCTTGTGCATGCATGTCCCAAATCCCGAGAGCAGAATGGAGGAGGGATTGCGGCGTGGCCATCTCCACCCCCGGGGGTGATTTCTTGCTTTCTGTCTTTCTGTCTCTATGGTGAGTGCATGTACCCTATAGCAAAAACATCTCTCTCTAAAAAAAAGATACCAGGTAGGGTTGGCCAGGGTTGGCGATCAGGCTGCTGGATCCTACATGGCTAACCATACAGTCTGAGCCCCAGACCCAGCAGTTTGAGAAACGCACCAGGCACATGTGCCCAAAATCCCAACAGGACAATGAAGAAGGGATTATGGCATGGTCATCCCCCATGGGGGGATGGAGTGTGCTTTCTCGCTGTCCCTCTCTTTCTCTGTCTCTCTCTAGATAGCAAGCATGCCCTTTGGCAAACACACACACACACACACACACACACACACACACCCCAGGTGTTTAGAATTTGAAAATTTCTCTGCTTCCAGCATCTCCGAAATCCCAGGCTGCCCCTAGTCCGGGAGGGGGAGGGGTAGCTTTCCCTTCCTGGCCTGCCCCCTCGGGCCTGTGGAATGAGGGTGGCATCTGACCGGCTTGCTGGGAGGTCAGAGGTAGAAGGGCTTGGGGGGACCTTTAACACCAAGTGAGGTCCCCAGAACCATCGGCTTTGCTTCTTGTGCATCCTGCCTCAGTGTCCCCATTCTTGACAGTGAGCTAGCAGGGTTTGCCATTCCTTCTGAATAGCACAGCGGCTTGTGAGGGAGGCCTTGTGACAGGTGGCGAGAAAGAGGGGCTCTTTGGCATCATGGGGGCATCCCAGGGCCTGGAGGACAGACCCAGACAGGTCGCTGGTGCGAGAGAGCATCAGGGAGGGGACCAGACTCACCCGACCACGTAGACCAGGACCACGAGCTGGATCAGCCGGAAGACAACGCCCACCTTCTTGTTGCGCACGAGCACCATGCGGGGAGTGTCGTACTCGAAGAAGAAGGCGGCCAGCTCATCCTGGAGCCGCCGGGCCATGCCGCGCCAGCTGGGGCTCAGAGCCGAGCCCCCTGCACGGCCTTAGCTGCCAGGGCGAGCCAGGTGGCCGCACCCACGTCTACAGGGGTACTTCAGTGGGCTTCCCGGTCCCTTAGGAAGGGCAAGTGGGGCCAGAGGTCAGGAGTCAGAGGTCAGTTGGAGGCACTTGAATTGGGAGGGAGAACCTTTGGGTGGTCAGAGCAGCTCTTGGCCCCTGGCAGGCAATGGACTGTGGGCCAGCCGCGCCCGTGGACAAATAAATTCCCAAAGATAGACGGGGGCGGGGCTGGTGGGGCCACTCAGGCCCAGCCCCACTGACCCTCCTGGCTCCGCCTGGGCCCTGCTGGGCCTCCGGAAACAGGAGCTGTTGGCAGGAAACCACCAGCTACCCGTCACAGGGACAGAGATAAAGCCATCAGCCCTCTCACCCACCTCATCTCGAACCTGGCAGGACAGAGCTAGGGGCTCTGACCAGGGCCTGGCGGGAAGCTGGGTGACCTCCAAGCCATCCTCACACACCACCATTAGCCACCAACCCGCCCTTGCCCCCACACTCCCAGTGGGCAGCAAGGTCCTGGAGGCTTGCAGCAAGAGGGGCAGAAGAGGAAGGAGGGCTGCTTCCAGTTCTGCTTTATGACACTCCCTGAGCCCATGGCAGGAGCCCTACCCCTGTCCTGGCAGCCACCTTCCACCCACCCATCCTTCGAGTCCAAGCTGGGCCGGCACCTCCATCCCAGTCTCCTCTCCCACCACCTGCCCTGCCACAGCCACACCTCCCGCTGCACCACCAGACCAGGCCAACGCCACCTCTGCCACGCACTGCCGGAGGGAAAACCTGCTGTCACACAGCCCTGGCTGTGCTGCCTGTGGGCTGTGGGGACTTGGCATAGGCCAGGGAGTCCCATGTCAGCTCCTCAAGCACCAGAGCTGGAGGCTTCGCAGCCCCACCCCTCGACTTCCCTTGAAGAGCTGAAACTCAGAGAGGAAAAATGAGTGGCTCGAACTCACTCTGGGAGGTACTGGCAGCAGGAGCCTCCCTGGACAGCCCCGCCCACCCCCAGTCCAGGCTGTCCTCCCCTGTCCATGCCCCACTGCCCACCTCCTCAAGGCTGATAAGGAGTCTTCTTTCTGGCCGGTCATCAGCTGGGGAATCGCTGTGCAGGGAGCCTGGCCCGGACTGGGGATCCAAGCCGTCCGTTTGTCCTAGTCAAGTTGCTTTCTGGACAGCAAGGGGCCGCCCACAGAGACCAGGCCCATGGCCCCTTCCAGCACCCTAGGCCAGCTCCTTCCTATCAGATGGCTCAGCCTCATCCCACGCAAAGCTCCTGCCAAGCCAGCGGAGATCTCTCAGGTTGTCTGCCGCCGCCTTCAAGGGGGGCCAGTGAGAACCTCGGGGTTTTCTAAGGAAAAATCTAGAGATGCTGCGAGCCAGAGAACGACCCTTTGACCTCATCTTGACCCCAGACACAAGGGCTGTTCCTTTCCCCAGCTAACTCCATGGCTGCCGCAGCTGGGACTGAGCTGCTTATGGGGCGTGGGGTGGGCTGTCTGAGCCCTGCCTGTGCCCTCTGCACTCGCCCTTATCCTAGTGGCCACACCGCTCCGGAGAGGGGCCGACAGGACGACAGGACGCTGGGTGAGGGAGGAGAGAAAGGAGCGAGGGAGGAGGGGGAAGGAGGGAGAGAAAGAAGGAGAGAAAAGGGAGAAAGGGAGCTTGCTGATGGACAGACACTGCCTCGGAGCACACACGCACGCGTCTGTCACAGCCGGGGCATCCGCCCTGGCGCTCAGTAAACAGACTGGCATGGAGGACCGTCCCATCTGAAGATCTTATCATCTCAAAAGTGAAAAAACCAATGATCTTTTCTTGCTAATAATTCTGCAAGGTAAGGGAGTGAGCAGAGAGGGCCAGTGTCTGATTCCCTGACATTAAAATGCATCCTTCTGATTCGAAGCCTGTGCATTCCGGCCCTTGGCCCAACCCCAGCCTCCTTGGGGACAGAGACTTGTGTTTGTTCTGTGTATTGTGAGGGATGGAAGTGGGCAGGGCAGAATTCATAGTTCCATATGTAAGCTTAGTCCCGAAGGACAGATACTAGGACCCCCATTTTATAGGGAAGGAAACCGAGGCTGTGGAGGTCGAGTACCCAGCACGAGGTCACACAGTAAGTAGTTTTCATGTCTTCTGGTGACTGGAAAGGAGGCTCCCCAAAGTCTGAGGGCTTGGCCCTGAGCCCACACAAAGACTCCAGCTCTTGAGAGTCGCCAGGCCTGCCTTATAAGCCCAAAGGCTGGGTGGCCTGCTTGGGTACTGGGCCGGGCCTTGTAGGGAGACAAGGCCCTTTTGCCAAGTGCTCGGCCCCAGGACAGCCTCCCCTGTCTGGCTAAATTTAGCGGTTCTGTGGAGTGTGGAGGGGGCTGATGCCCATCCTGGAGCCACTGCCCAGGCCTGGAGGCCAGCCTGAACCCTCAAGGGAGGGTGGACACAGGCCCCAACAGGTCTCCTTGGACACTCAGGGTCCGAGGAGTGCAGGAACCACACCTCTGCCCACTCCTAACACTTACACACACATCCACACCTGGACCTGCCTTGGCGTCCCAGGAACTCCCCCAACCCTCAGTCTGTCAGGCACTGGTTGGAATAGGACCCTGGCCAACCTAATAGAGTCTGTCAGGGGAAGTTGGGGAGGGCAGGCCTCTATGGGAGGCCAAAGTGCAGCCATGGCCCCCGCTTCTCCCTACTGTCTGGATGCTACACAGCTCCCCCTGCTAAGGGCCATGGCCAGGCTCAGCTCTTCTTCCCAACTGGCCAAGGTATCAGACCCTCCCTAATCTCCATGCTGTGGGGGCTCGGTGCCCAGCCTCTTCCCATCCCTGGAGTCAGGGGACCCCTTGAGACTGGCCAGCCTCTCAAACACTCTCACCTGAAGGTTCTGACTCCTCCACAGCTTCCGGCCATGCTGAATCCTTTACGCCCACATGGTAGCCACGTGCCCACTCATCTCCTTTCTACTTTCTCTCCCTCTTTCCTTTTTTTTTTTAATAAACGTTTTTTTTAAAGAATTAATTTAATTTAATTTATTATTATTACTTTTTAATTTGGGCAGAGAGAGGGAAAGTGAGAAAGCAAGCTGCCAGATCTAGGACTCGAACCAGTCAGCCATGTGGGAGTCCAGCCTCCTAACCACCACACTACCTGCTGGCCCCAGTCTCTCTCTCTAATTTTATAAGTGTACTTATTGGGACCAGACAGGTCATTAAGGTGGCTGGATCCCACATGGCTGACTGTGCAGTTCAAGTCCCAGACGCTGAGGCTTGAAAAACATGCCAGGCACATAGAGGCAACCCAACCTGAGACCTTTCCCACATGGGGCCAGTTGTGTGACACTAGCTGCTCTCTTCTTCTTCTTCTTTTTATTTATTTATTTATTTATTTAGAGGTTTTTGCCTGAGGGCGCTTGCGCTCCCCAAGTAGAGAGAGAGACACAGTGAGAGCAAAAGTGAGAAATCACCCCTACAAGGGATGCCCACACTGCAATCCCTTCTCCATTCTCTTCCCAGATCTTGGGCATGCACGCACACGGATCCGGCATGATTTTCAAGCCAGCGGGTCTGGGACTCAAACTGTGGTCAGCCATGTGAGAGGCTA